CTTGTGTATATCAGTCAAAAGAGATCTGAGTATCATGTATACGCTTCGGACAATACATTGCAGATGTTTTCCAACTGACAAGAATTTGAGGTGTAGGTAAATACATACCGTATCAATGAGAGCCTAAAAGGTCAAGTGTTTTTTAAATTTAATTAAGTTTTTCTAATTTTTGGGATACGTGCAACAGATAATATTTCTTAGTGTATTTATTTTCACTCACTGTTAAACGTAGTATTAGTGGTAGCACCAGGTGTTGAAATAAAACACCTGCCACTTCTACTGATCTTGTTGTGCAAGACGCCAACAGCAGATTATCAGAAGAAAAACATCTTATTTTCTAAAAACGGTATTCTAATTTTCGAACCTACACATATTATCCCTTCCAATGGTCTTTTGACCACGTGGCAAACCCCTAGATTTGGTCAAGATTTTGGGTTTTGAAGGGATTGCACCCAAAACTAGCTAGTATATCTCAGTTACCCTCAGCTTGGAACATAGATTTTCCATATCCCTATAATTATGGTACATTTTTTCCTATTCTATCTCTTTCCTTTATCTATAGCATCAGTCAGCCTGTTTCTGTATGGTTTATTCCCAAAATCTATTACTGCAGTGTAATGAATATTTTGTTACTCCAAGGATTTGTTTAGTAAGTCTTACTATACAAAAAATTAATCCTTGGTTACTCAGTACGTTAGCTTTCTTTGATCTAAGTTTTATCGAACAATGATATATGCATGATAAAGGAAGAATTATTTAAATCTTAATTGTTCAAATCTATTAGTTTCAAAAAGTATGTATAATTATTTTTATGCCTTCTAAGCTGACACATTTATCAATTATAGCTGGGGAATATTTATAAGACAACGTTATTAAACATTCTTTAGAAAGATAAACACATTGATATTTTTTTAAAGAAAATGTTCTATAAACAAATTAAAGTTTCTTAAATTTGTTTTAATTACGTCCACTTCTTAATCAATTTATTTTGTAATTTATTTAACCACTAAATTACAGGTTCGTGACTTGGGAGAGACAAATATCGCAACATTAGAACAAACTGTAAAAATCAGATCGAGATAGTTTGACTCATCATAATGGCACGGAGCACCAAAAAAGACAACTTGCATAGCAACAACAAAAAACCACAATGTACCAATCTAAGAGTATTTTCAATTACTGAAAGCTAGTTCAAAGCCAATAATACTAATAAATAAATCATGTTTTCCAAGACTGCATCAAGTACGGGGAGGTTTTTGAGAGCTTTTAAGTCCATACTCATAGTGCATCGTCCCTTGGTGTCGGTTGCGGCTAAACAACCACATTTTCAAACAAAAGATAAATAATTTAAAGAACATATCAGGAGTATAGCAACCCGTATATACTTTTTTAATATGATAGCTTGCATGTCTCTATATTTATATTTAGGTTTGTTATATGAATGTTAGCTAAAAATATTGTTTGCTATGTGAAGGAACATATTTGGTATATGTAAATTGTAAATGCACCCCTCTTTGGGAGGGGGGGGGAGGGAGACTTGATTAGGAAAATGCACTTTGTATCGTAATAAGCATACTTTGACCTATAATGGTTTACTTTTTTAAATTTTGACTTGGATGGAGAGTTGTCTCATTGGCACTCATACCACATCTTCTTATATCTATATATCGATGTAGATCAGATTACCAACTTGTGGGGACTCTACAAGAACTAATCACAGCTTAGTTACATTCTCTCTTTGGTTAAGAACTTTGATTTTAAAAGAGCTATTTGTAAATTACGTATATCTGCTCATAAGCTTCAAATTGAAATTGGCCGTGTTTTTTCAAATATTCCACGAAATGAAAGAATTTGCACAAAATGTTCCTCTGGCTGTGTTGAAGATGAAATCCATTTTTTAACTTCATGTGAAAAATTTAACTCTGATAGAGATACTCTCTTTGACATTGTTTGCCATAAAAATTCCAAACTTTTGTTTACTGGACAATCAGAAAAAATTCATATGTTTATTAAGCTGTGAAGACAATCATGTCCTTAATGCTGTTGGAAAATTTATTCAAGTCAATATGAGTTAGATGTACTTATTCCTCATATAAATATATTATATACTATAAAACAAGGACTTTTTTTAAAAGTCTTATTGTATTGTAATTGTGTATTTACATGTATTCTCTACCCTTGTGGGCCTTTAATTGGTAATAAAATATATCTTATTTTATCTATATGCTTTCTGTTTTCGTCGTCATTACGGATATTTGTATCGTATTCACGGATGATTCAAAGGAGTCAAAAAAACTTTCTACGGTATCTATTAAATATTCGCACTGTCCAGAGAAAAAGCTCAAATGAAATTGAAAACACCTAATCGGTTTCATATAATATACAGATCAGTGAAATAACGAAAATCTAAAATTTTGCACGGCGCTATAATTAAAACTACTACGAGGAAGTCAAGCAACAACAGAGTGTGGATATTTGAAGAGGGTACCGTGCTGCCACCTATACTTCATTCTACCATTTATGCATTCGTCAGAGCTGACTTTTCTTCTTTCTGCTGACATAGAAAACTTGGGCGGGACGCATAAAGGCATCACGCTTTATAATTTTTATGACATCGCGGATCAGTCAGCATCGAAAAATACAAAATATCACGTTTTTCTAATTTAATGCAAAATGTCTTGAATAACTTCATAAATTTCATAACATGTAACCACAAAATAGCATGCATCATAACAACAAAAGCAGACATCATGCATGTCATGAAATCAATCTCCCCGTCGTGCAGCGGCATAATTAATCATAAACAAGACGGTTGTAAAAAAGACAGTTCTTTCAAAAATTGCTGATGTGTGCATTTCTGAAATTAAGATTTATACCGACACTATGCACTTTTCCTTTTGATCCTCAAAACTGACCAGATAACATTTGACAACTGTCCAATAGATACGCATTAGAAGAAAAGATAGAAAGATAGAAAAAAATCGTGGAAAAAAATAAAGCAAAATAAAATAAACAATTAGATAAAAATACAATTGAATATATATGTTTTTGTCAATTTGGCTTGATTTTTTAAACACATTTCGATCATATTGTATGCAGTTGTCATCACGGGAATAAGTTGTGGTGACAGATCTAGGATATATTCTGTAAACTTTTATTCACTTCTTTTTAGACTGGGCGATTTTGTCTAAATAGAGCTTGAATTTATATGTGGACACCTTAAGTTTCTATTGTTGAAGACCGAATATTGACCTCTACTAGGTTTGATGTGGTTTTTTGTGTGTCACAGTTTGGTATTTAATGGGTTGAGGTGGAGTGGAGTGTTTGTTTCTGCTTTTGTCGTTTAGTTATTGTCTCGGTGACATATTCCCATGTCTCCTTTTGTTCAAAACCGAAATAAACATTGGGCCTGTCCCGATGATACCTTTTTTCTTCACGTGCTTCACATCTACGGATCGATTCCTTTTATATTCAAAAGTACAGTTTTTCACATATAATATTTAGACAGTTCTACTAATGAATAAAAGGAGATGTGGAGACAGTAACACAAAGATAAAAACAAAGCTAAAGCCCAATTTTAAGCCAATCTACAAACCAATGATTAACTTCGTTCATTATCAGAATAAAAATGCACCCTTATCATTCCATATATATAAACACCTATTCATAAAATCACAGGATTTTTTTTTGTCTCAAGAAGATAAACGTATCATTCATAATTAAACGTTTGTGTTTATCAGACACCTTTAAGAACATTAATAAATTCACATAAATATGTAAATTTGTTACCAAATTTTCTATAATTTTATTCTTCATAAAATATTTGATTAATTTACTTGTATGAGCTTATGTTATATACAACGTTATTATGAAGTAAGTAGAGACATCATGAAAACTATATGCTTGGCCTTTTTCCTCAATGCTCGTGCAGCACACGCAATTACACACTACAGTACAAGTACAACATACACAAAGTCGCAAGTAAACGATAATATTTTCCCTTTGCATAAAAGGGGGGTTATATTGGCAGCTACACATGACAATAAAAGAAATGCATGAAAGAAAGAGATAAAGAAAAGAAAAATACAAATGTACAAAACCATATACAAATACATTTAATTAACTGTCAGCCACTTTTTGCTTCATGTAACAAAATAAGATGTGATTTTTGTTATTGCCAATGAGACAACTATCCCCCCAAACACCAAAGCAAAGGATGTGAACAATTACATGGATTTGAGTATGCATTTGCGATTACGGCTCAAAAGTGAATTGTTCCAATCATTTTAATGGTGAAAATTGTAGCTGGAAGGCTAAGGCTTAAAATGACCCTTTCTCTCTGTTTTCGAGTTCTGTGCCATTATTATAGCTAGGAAACGGTTCCTACTAAGGCTTTAAACGTTCACCCTGACTATAGATTATATTACCACCCCCCCCCCCCCCCCCCCAACCCCAAGAATTTTTTTTTTCTTTTAGATATTTTAAAAGTAAAAAAAATAAAAAAAATATAAATTAAACACTTCTGAAAATTACCCTCTTTCTTGATACTAAAATTCTCTCTGATTATTAAATAAAACAGGTTTGATTTTAAATTACTTAGGTGTAATTTTCGCCCCTCTGCTACCTCATGGCACAGAAAGTGAAGAGATTTTTTTTAATTTACACACATAAGCAGTTTTTAAACAGACACTTGTGTAAGATTGCAATCTGGTAATTGATTTTTTGTAGACAAAGGTTATCTCGTAGGTCACGTATAAATTTTTTTTATGATGCTGGTGTATGTTTTATTCATGTCAGCAAGATAGAATTTCGCTCAGCTCATTTCGTAATAAATCTTCTTGGTTCCCATCAGTTTGTTACTCTCCGGCAGTATCATGGGTTCCAGATGACGCTTAAAATTGACTGACAGCGTTTTTCTTTCTCGGGCGTTTACCTCATCTCAGCAATCCATAAAATGTTCATTTATGATTGGCTCTTGCAGCAACCGATGTTTGTGTACAAATTTTAGATTGCCCTGGATAGAACAGTTGGCGACTGGCCGCTGCCGTTAAGTTTTCAAAATTGACGCTAGGAATCCGCTGTTGCTTTTGCAAAAAGGCAGCACGGCCCTTCCTAGATAAACGGCTTGTCAACTCAGGCCCAATTTAGTCTTTCCAACAGGACTCTGTTGAAATTTTATTCCATAAACTGTTTTGTTGTTTTTCAATGTTCTGATAGACAATAGACCTAAATTAAAATAATGAAGCTGTGCCATGTGCGGTGGGGCCTTTTAGGCCTGTTAGTTGTGATATGGACTGTGGATGCTCAATCTGAAGGTAAGTTACATGGCCTTAACTGTATTTCTTTTTAACTTTTGTGTGTACAGACATAATGCATTGCTAAATTAATCCATCACAACTATTAATTTTGTGTTTTTAATGCATATTTTTGAATGCGCGTTTACTTCTCGCACTTTATTGAAAAATATAAACGGGAGAATAATTAAAACACTCAAGTCAGGTTATATAAAACACGCTTCTATCATTATAATTGAGAAGTGTCTTTTGGCCGCCAAAACGGAGGGGGTTAGAGCGGACACAGCGCTTTGCAAACATTAAAACTCATACTATATTGGCAATGTGTGTTTTAGTTCTAAACAATCGAATTAAAAAAAGTAGTTATTTTTTTTTTCGGAACAGATAAGACAAAAAATGTATGCGCAGTCAGTATTGACCGGCGCTCTTGAAGTTACGGGTTAAAGCACATTGGTTTAAGGTACCAATCGAATTTTTTTTTTTTTTTATTGTAATACAATGTACCATTATCATTATTATCAATACGGTTACATATTTTTTTAATCACACTTTGAAACCTATAAATCATGCAATAGAGATAAAACTTTGCAAGATTTGATTTGCTATGCGGATGTCGTCTTCATTCCAATAATCTGTCGAAAATATGAAATTCTGTTGTCATTTAAAAATAACTTTCGTTACATTAATTTGTCTGCCATTGTATTCTGCTAAGAGTCTCGCAGCCGCTAGTGCGTTTTATTATTGGGATTTCTGGGCAATATTTGTTCGGTAAAAGATAGGATTTGTGAGGCTATGTCATAGTTTCCGCTATCGAAGACGAAATGTAGTTGAACTACTTTGATATTATCATGGATGCATTTCATCATTAAAGCAATATGCACACATAAGTATAAAAAGGACACTAAAAAATGTTAGAAAAAGTCATCAAATAATATTTTTGGGAGTATTTTAACTAATTTGGGCAGCTTAATAGGTGGTTTACTTTCAAACTCATACCAGATCAGCTATCGAAGACGATATGTAGTTCAATTACTTTGATATTATCATGGATGCATTTCATCATTAAAGCAATATGCACACATAAGTATAAATAGGACACTAAAAAATGTTAGAAAAAGGCATGAAATAATAATTTTGGGAGTATTCTAAGTAATTTGGGCAGTTTCATAGGTGGTTAACTTTCAAACTCATACCGGATTTTACCAGATATTTAATATTGCCGCCATATGAAACAGTTTTCAACATGCAGGATACACATATCAAATATGAGGCGACAATAGTTTACCGATGATCAAATTTCGTACGTAAATCGGCCATATTTATCATTTAAACTTGGTGAAAAACTGAACGAATTCAAATTGAAATAGTCCACTGGGTATTTAGTTTTAATAGTTAAATCTTATATGTGGTCATCGAATACAGTGGCAGTAATCAGATTCCTCAGGTATCATGTGAGTAGTACAAGCAGTCTGTTAATTAATTTCGAAGCTACCTAGACCAGTTGCGTTTCTACAAACGCAAGTACCGGGATAGTGAGAGCTGGCTTAGTTAGACTGCCTATACGGTTTCTCGTACTGTGCTGTTAAGAAATACGGAAAGTCATGATAGAAGATGATAAAAAAAAAACGAAAAAAAAGGTCATCCATCATGCTGTTCAGATTACTGACTGTCGAACATAGATTTTGTTCTGCGTCGTTGACGGTATCCACTATTTCATTCTGCCATGCAGTTTGCGTCGTAGCCGAGGGTTGCGTTTTGTCATATTCATACCGTGAAAACGGGTTGTAATCCATATATCAAAAACGTCTCGACTTTATCATATCCGGCATGGTTTTATAGGCCTAGATGGTTCTTTGCCGACAGATTTTTATTTCACCAAAGTCTGGAAAGATTAGATACCAGTGTACTGTAGTTCTCCCGGTTCGATTTGATAAAACTAATTAAATGACCCGAATTGCATATGTAACAGATTGTAAAATATTTTTAATAAGAGAAAAAGTCTGTCCAGGTTCCTTTCTTTTGGAAATTGATACCGTGGTGTTTAAACCAGTATTACTGAATCATACAAATGCAGGTAAAAAGTGCCAGCGAGAAATTGTAAAAATAAACACCAGAGGCGGATTTAGGGGAGGGGACAAGGCACAGGACAAGGGGACCCGATCACCCTTATGTAGCTACATATACGGTTAATATGTAGACTGTTCACAAGTCCCACTCCTTGTAAACATTGACTTTTTGGTCCCCCCTTTTTTCAAAAATCTGGATCCACATCTGACTGAACACGATATGAGATTACTATAACACAGCGTTTGTAAATTTGTGTTAAAGTAATCTTAGACATAGTGGAAAAAAATAATAAAAAAGAGCGTCAATTTTCTTGCTTGATACTGTATAAAACCAGCGAGTTTGAGGATTTAGATTTAGAAAATGTAGTTTCTTTCCCCTTTCTACATAAGCACATAAGGGTTGGTTGCATGTTTCTGTCCCCTCTCCACAGGTTCCTCAAAGAGTCTTACCCAGATTCTCGGTTCATGGAGTATCCCCGTGACATAGATTTATAGATATAGGATGGAGGTTCATTATTATTTTAGAAATACACTTCAATATAAAAACCTACTTTCGATTTTTTTCTCTCTGATGAATAAATTTACAAATTCATGAAATTTAACCTAACTTTGAAATAAGTGTAATGATCAAAAATCATGTGTAGCATGAAGAATTCTTGTTGGACTCTTTTTTTTTATTAGTCCCCTACCGACGAAGTCGAAGGGGACTTTAGGTTTGCACTCCGTCTGTCTGTCTGTCTGTCAGTCCGGCAAATCAGTTTTCCAGACTTTTTTCTTCGTGCTTGAAGATATTGATTTGATATTTTGTTTATTGATTTATCATGACAAGTTACAGGTCAAGCTCAATTTTCACGATTTTAGCTTTTCTCTTTGTTCAATTAAAGCCCTTTCCCTAGAATTAAATTTTTTATGAAATACTTATTATTAAATAGTAGATTTCTGTTCAAAGGGAAATAACTCATTTTTTAAAAGACGAAATGACATTTTGGATTTTTTTCCTTTTCTTTGGTAAATTGTTTGGAGAATTTAGTGGTAGGTTTGTTTGTCATTCTTGAAGATATTGATTTTGTTAATTAGTATATAGTTTTATCATGACAAGTTACTGATCAAGTTGGAATTTTGTTCCAGTCTGATAATTTTGAGCTGAGTTATGGTCTTTGGACATAGAAAATTCACTTAAATAATCAGTTTTCAACAGTTTTTTTCGTCATGCTTGAAGATTTTGACTTGATATTTTTATGTAGTTTACACCATGACAAGTTATAGATCAAGTTAGAATTTCGTTCCATTACAATGAATTTGTAACCAGTAGGGGACTGTATTGCCATGCAATACTCACAGAATGCTTGTTTGAATAGTTTTTATACGACCGCAAAAATTAAAAATTTTTTGGTCGTATATTGGTATGACGTTGGCGTCGTCGTCGTCGTCGTCGTCGTCGTTGTCGTCGTCGTCGTCGTCGTCGTCGTCGTCGTCCGGCGTCGTCTGGCGTCGTCCGAAGACACATTGGTTTTCGCACTCTAACTTTAGTTTAAGTGAATGGATCTCCATGAAATTTCACCATAAGGTTCAATACCACGAAAGGAAGGTTGGGATTGATTTTGGGGGTTATGGTACCAACAGTTAAGGAATTAGGGGCCAAAAAGGGGCCAAAAATAAGCATTTTTGTAACTTTCAGACAATAACTTGTGTGTAAGTGTATGGATCTCTCTGACATTGTACCACAAGGTTCCATATCACAAAGGGAAGGCTGTAATTGATTTTGGGGGTAATTGCCTCAAAATTTTAGGAATTAGGGGCCAAAAAAGGGGCAAAAAACAAGCATTTTTCTAGTTTCATGACAATAACTTGTGTGTAAGTGTTTGGATATTTCTGAAATTGTACTACAAGGTTCCATATCACAAAGGGAAAGCTGAAATTGAGTTTGGGGGTGATTGCCCGAAACGTTAAGGAATTGGGGGCCAAAAAGGGGCCAAAAATAAGCATTTTTCTAGTTTCCAGACAATAACTTGTGTTCAAGTGTATGGATCTCTCTGAAATTGTACTGCAAGGTACCATACCACAAAGGGAAGGCTGGGATTGAGTTTGGGGATGATGAATCATAAGGGGGTTCAAAAAATTTGGGGGGGGATTTTTTTTTTTTTTTTTTTTCTTTTTTTCCTTTTTTTTTTCTTTTAAAATTTTCCATTTTAAGTTGGTTATTTCTGATTTATATTTAAAAGCAAATAATAATGATATGGTAGGAGATACACACCAAACAGGATGTGTAAATTATTATATAATAAGTATTGTGCAATAGCAAGAAATTTTCAATTGCACAGTATTGCACAATAGCAAGAAATCTTCAATTGCACAGTATTGCGCAATAGCAAGAAATCTTCAATTTAACAGTATTGCGCAATAGCAAGAAATATCCAATAGCACAATATTGCGCAATAGCAAGAAATTGTCAATTGTACAGTATTGCGCAATAGCAAGAAATATTCAATTGCACAGTATTGTGCAAAAGAAGATACTTCGTATAAATTGCTTATTTCTTGATCAATTTCAATGGGGTTTTATTCTTGAATTCTTGGAGTTCTTTAATATGCTGAATCTAACCGTGTATTAAGTTTTTGGATTTTGGGCCCCGTTTTTAAATTGGTCCACATTGAGGTCCAAAGGGTCCAAAATTTAACTTTGTTTGATTTCATCAAAAATTGAATTATTGGGGTTCTTTGATATGCCGATTCTAACCGTGTATTTAGATTTTTAATTTTGGGTCCCGTTTTTTAAATTGGTCTACATTAAGGTCCAAAGGGTCCAAAATTAAACTTAGTTTGATTTTAACAAAAATTGAATTCTTAGGGTTCTTTGATATGCTGAATCTAAACATGTGTTTAGATTTTTGATTATGGGCCCAGTTTTCAAGTTGGTCGAAGTTGGGGTCCAAAATTAAACTTTGTTTGATTTCAA